AGCCGCACCTCTGATGACTGTAACAGGCAGCGCTTGCTCTCTTTTGATATCCTATCAGCTGGGTTTATCGGAGTATCAGACACAACCTCCTCACTCTAGGACTTGTCCCTTCTGGCCAGCTCACTCTGCAGAGCGGGCAGGGGCTGCGTGGGAGCTCACCTCTCATTTCAAGGAATCTTAATCGCAGGTTTTAAGCTACTTATTTACTTTTTTTGGGCTGTGCAGGAAGTCTGAGCTTGGGAAAAAAAAAAAAAGAAGACGACAGGAGTATAATTACCCTGGCACGCCTGCATTCCCGCTCCAGGCTCGGGTGGGGAAGGACGCTTTCTCGTCGGAGCCAGGAAGAGGATCTGATCCCTGGAGATCATCGCTACAAACGTGGGTAACTGAAACCTGCAGCCATGCTGAAACAGATCTTATCGGACATGTACATCGATCCTGACCTGCTGGCAGAACTCAGCGAGGAGCAGAAGCAGATCCTCTTCTTCAAGATGAGGCAGGAACAGATCCGGCGGTGGGAGGAAAGAGAAGCTGCTGCGGAGAGGGCTTCGGTGAAGAAGCCACCACCGAGGAAAGGTGAGTCTCTACCTGCCGCCGCTTCCCCTTCTGACACAGACCTGGCCAACTCATCTGCTCCCTAGAAATTGAAGGTAACGTGTTCTTAGAGTAATTTCTTCTCCCGGGAACACATCACAATCGTATTTCCAAACCATGACTAAACCTGGCCCCAGTGGGGTAGTTTTGGCCAGGCACACAACGTGTTTACTCCATTACTCCATTACTCCTGGCCCAAACACTCTGTCCTTGACCAAATTGCTCAACTCCCAGAGCTGGGACAACAGGGCTTACGTGCCCCCAGGAGATACATCTCATTAAGATTCCCGCTAAATTTGGCCTCTGAATCTGTCTATAAAATAACCACAGATTTGAACTATGTCTGTCCTGGGGCACCAGTTCTGGGGGGTGGGGGTCCTGTTGTGCCTTTAGACCTGAAGTCCCCTTGGAGGATTACACAGCGTGCTGGCTCCTAGGGAGGTTGTGCTCTTCTCCCAGTCTCTTCTTCACTCTCACACACTTTGGGGAGGGCAGCGGCAAGGAGTTAAAGCAAGAAAGCAAATAGTGGCGAGTCTCCTGCCTTGCCCCCAGGCTCAGAAATGCCTCCTTCACCCACCTGGCTCCAGTACTGTGAAATGCAATGGGAGGTGTGTGCTGGGTGCGAGCCGAGCTTTCCTCCACGCTTCTGGAGAGGCTCTGCCATCGGCAGCAGCCGGGAGGGGACAGCGAGTGGGACACAGGCCCTGCACAGTTTGCCAAAGAGCTGCTTCTTTTCCAGCCAACGGGAAGTCGGTGACATGGAAGCTCGGTGCCGACAACGATGTCTGGGTCTGGGTGATGGGCGAGCATCCTTCAGACAAGTCGTACGCGGCCATCTGCGAGGAGATCCAGGCACAACGGACAAAGCGGTTAATGAGAGAGCAAGGCAAAGAGGGCAGGTAAGCACCCTTCAGCTGGAGCACTTGGTGGGCAGATGGGGAGGAGAAGGCATTTCTGGAGTCCTGTCCTAGTTTTGAATCGTGGAGTTCAATTTCCTGTTCTGCAGAGCTGCATTTCTGAGAGATCTGCAACGTCTTATGTAATGCAAACAAGTCGGTGTTATAGCTTTAAGTTATTTTCCTCACAGTGAGGCTTTGTTTCGGAAGAAATGCTGGTGGCACTGATGTTTTGTTTTTTGTGGAGGGCTGTTTACACTAAACTCAAGGACTGTTTTTCAGTCTTTGCCTGCACCTGCATTTGTAGTTTCCTTTGGCTTTTTTTCCCCTTCTTTCTGCACAAGAGGATGGGAGGAAGGAAAAGCCCAGGGTTTTCTGGGATAGAGGACCCAGGTGTGATCCAAGCTGATAAACAGAATGTATTTATATGCCATAAACATCATATTCACTATAAATTGGGGAGTAAGCGAGCGGCTGCATGGTGTTCAGCTGCTTGCTGGGCTAAACCACGATAATCCTCTCCGCAGTGACTATTGTTATCACTGTCCTACTCAACTTGCAGGCAAAGGTTGGCTTTCTGCGAGTACCCACGCTGCTGGCAGAGCTCAGCTCCAGCCTGAGGCTTTGCCCCGGCTCATTGAGCCTCCCGTGGTATCGCTCCAGCGCCGTGCTCTGTGCAGACCACAGGAAATGCTAACTCTGTTATTGCAGCAGGTGATATGTTTGGATTGCTTTGATTCACTGATGGGTGCCCATGCACAGCAGGATGACAGTTACTCACCACGAGTCATGAATCTAATTATTCTGCCCTACCTGATACGGAGATCCGATAGCTGCCTGCATCGCGCCGCTCCATCACCGATGCTCAGGGAGCAGAAAGCGACTCCCTTGGCTTCCTAAGTCCTCTCTCTCTTGCGTTTCAGGGAGAGCGACTCCTCTGTAACACGGTCTCTACATCCAGAACCAGGAGTCCTGGGTGAGACGGATCTTCATGGGATTAAAAAAACCACCGCGGAGGAAAAGAAGGAAAATGGGAGAAAAAACACTGCTGCTACAACAGGGAGAAGCCAGGAGCTCACAAAGGTAGTTTTCCCCCTTTCCTCCATACCTATCAGATATATGTGCTGTGAGATCTAGGAAGTGCAGCAAATCCTGGTTGCTATAAATAGAAATTTGACCAAGACAAAAAGCCAACCGACTGTTAAGGCTTTTTTTTTCTGTAGTGCAGAGAAGAAGCCGTGCCATTACATCCTTAGGGCTCGGGAGGTCTGAGTGCTATTCACAGATCTGCTCTGTGCTGCAGATACGCTACTCTGGATTCCTGTGGGTAAAAGAAGGGTCGCAGGACTTGCCCTCCTGCTCTGTGCCTGGTTCAGAGAGCTTTTTGGGCAAGAGTGGAAAGGCTATCCCAAGATCTGCCACAGCCCTCAGACAAATCACCTCTGTGTATAAAAGAACACATGAAGGCAATTCTACCAGCATCCTCTGACATGCATATTTTAGCTCCCTTTTTTGGGGGAGGCATGTGTGTGTGTCTTCTGAAATAGCTAGAAAATAACTTAAAACCCTTAACAGCCTAGGAGAGCTCCAAATGCAGTAACTCCAGTGTCTGCTTTGCTGAGGTGTTTCATTACACACCTATTTTTTTTCCCTAGCAATAAATACTTCTCTGCTTTGTAATGCTACAAAGAGCCATTTGCAGAGAGGTGAGAAAAAGATGAGTTAAATGAAGCGCCCGTGCAACCACCGTTGAACAGAAGGAACTGAACATCCTGCCAGTTTAACGGGAGCAGTCCAACTCATTCAGCAGAGCTTTCATTCTGCCTTTTGCTGCTGACTTGTATGAGTGTAAACTCTTTTCTTACACAGCCGCTCCGTATATCAGTACAAAAAGCACGATAACTCAAGGCTGGGTTTTGGCCAAGCGCCTCTCCCGCTGGTACCTAAATACGGTGACTCTCCTTTATCGAAAGCCTCTGAGTCACACGGGGTTTTTCTTAGCACTGTTTGCTGAAGTTGAGCAACTGTGTGGGAGAATCGGTTTGTTATATTCTGGCTTTTTCTTTTCAAATTAGGCTATTAGTCACAGCTGACAGAGAAACTCCCCCAAACCAAAAATCCCACCAACACCAAAAAAATCTAACCCTCTTTTCAAAGTCTTGGAAATATGGTTTGTATATTTTAGTCTTGTTTTCTGATGTTGTATTATTGGTAATTTCTTCTATTATTAGTATTTTTCCCCAGGTTTTTGCTATTAGAAGGAAGGATCCAGACATGAAGGCCCCTCTTGCATTTTCTAGGCCTGCAGAGAGGCTTTTTTCTCCCCTCCCTCGTTCCAGTGCTTCCCCCAAGATCTGGTTCCCACTGAACCTGAGGGATCCGGGCATTGTGCTCTGTCTGCTGCAGGGTGTGGGTGTTTGAGCTGCTTCATAATCCTTTGGAGTTCCTAGTTCCCTGTCAAGGAGATGTTGGAAAGCCACATTTGTATTAAATATTAGCCAAGGAGGTGATGAAGATAAGACAAAGCGTGTCCTTGGAGAGCAGCATGGTATGGTTAACTCGTTACTTACCATGCGATGGGAGGCAGTCGGTCCAATGGGGAGTGTGTTTGCTCAACGACAAGGCCAATCGTTTGTCTTCCAGGGCAGGTCTCAGCTGGCAACTGCTGCTCGCTAGACTGGTTTGTAGGGAAGAGCTGACAGCGGCTTTGCTGCTGGTTGGGGCAGTCTGACGAGCAAGGGTTTGCAGTGCCCCAGCCACAGCAGCACCCGAGCACGGGCAGGGAAAGGTGTGGACAGCAGGTTCTGCCAGGGCTGGCTCTAGAGGGAGGGAGGAAAGGGAGGTGGTCTGCTCCCTGGGAGCATTGCTTAGCAATCTTAGACGATCCTGACACCCCCAAATTCTCCTCCTGTGGTGTATTAGGAGGTGAAAAAAACCCAGTGTTTGTCAGAGAAGGCTGGCAGGAGTTAACATAAATGTCACATCACTGTTTCTGCATGAAACACCTATTCCAAAAAAGAGCATTTCATTTCTCACCGCTCTTTTCCTCCTCCCAGAGGGAAGCCAGGGATGTTCACCAGATGCTGGCAGCCTGTCACCTGAGGAAGCGTGGCATCCAACAGGTGAGTGCCAATCTAGGATGCTCCTAACACGTTGAGTGGGGTCCAGACTTTATCCTACAGCCCCAGTCAGCCTCAGAACCTCATCTGACCCATGAATATCCTCACCTCTTGGACCAGTTTCCTCCAGCGTTGCTATGCTCCTCGTGTGTGGTGTGATGATTTAGGGATGATGATATGAAGCAAGCCAGCCTGGCAGACAGGAGATAGTCCTGATGAGAGAATCTGTATGTTGTTGAAATTGGAGGGCTTCACAATAAATAAATAGATTTTCCAGTATTTCAAGACTACCTAAAAAGCAGGGCTAAACCTAGCCTGAGACAAAGCCCTGAACATACTGTTTCTATCATAGATGAAGGAAGCACAGAGGAGAAATTCAGGAGAAGAGACCACAGCTCCCCAGGAGGCCGTACCACAGAGCCAGCCCAGCTCGGAGAGCCGCAGGACGCCGCAGAAATCGGATGAGAACGAGCCTGAATGGCAGGAATCCTGTAAGATCTTAGGATGACCTTTTCCTATGGGACTGTGTGGGGTCATCTCATCTTGATCATGCAACACTGGAACTGAATATTTGGTCGTGGGTGGAGAGTGCTGCCAAGAAACACAGCGCTGCATTATCAGAAATATTTCTGAGTCTGCACGGCATTGAGACCAGAGCTGGGCAGGGAAATGGAAATTTTTTTACTACAGAAAAGTCACTGTTTGTGATCATTTCGTGTTTTCAGTCTTTTCTATATTTTGATCGAGCTGTTTTTAATTGAAATATAGTTGCAAACATTGAGAACAATGCCAATATGTCATATGCTGGCATATGGCAGTCCTCAGAGACACTATTAAAACAAGCAACAAACACGGACCACATAAACATAGCTGGGATAATTAATTTTAACCCAGAAGCTGGCTTTTTTTGCAGTAACCATTTCTCCTGAGGACAGGGATAATGAGTGACAGGGGCTAACTAAGAAGGGCAATTTCAAAAGCACTTGGTTTGACACAAACTCCTTTCACTGAAGTGATTTTAGTCCTTCCTGGGCTTCAGAAGCGAGCAGGGAGGGTTTTGCTGCTCAATAAAACTCAGTTTTGTGCAGGAAGTCAGTGCAAAGCCAAGGTAACAACTCCTTTTTGCACAACACGGAGCCGTATTGCGGAGAGGTGGGAGAAACATGAAAAAAGAGGCTGTGTGAAACATAAACAAGGACGTCCCTGCTTCCCTGGCATCCAAACACGATCCCACCTACGCAGAGCCCTGCTTCATCATCTCATGTAATGAATCCAAACGATAGGAAGGAAAACAGTGTGAGACTTGCAGCAGCATCCACCGCTGCTGCCAAATGCTTCCTGAAGGAGAACCTGATGCGTTTTTTTTCCCCCCGCTGCTCAGTAGATGGCAATGCTGTACTACCAGTTGTTTGTACTTTAGGCCAGGGGTTTTATTTTTCTTACTGATTTAAAAAAAACCCCCAAGCATATCTGGAGTTGATGATAAAAGCAAGGAAAGAACTCGCCTAACTCAGGCATTGCTGGTTAGTCCTACAGACTCCAGGCTGAGCTACTGAATGCAACCTACAGAGTCAAGGCAGGGTTTCAGCAAAAAATGCCCAGCCAAGTTCTCCACCTCCCGTAACAGTTTCAGCAGGCTTCCCTCCCAACCTTAAATAAACAT